TAGTAATGTGGAGAAGTAGTAAAGGTCTACGGGGCAATCAGTTGGCTACCACCCAACCACATACGGTGATATGATATGAAGCCGCTTTTCTTTATTCCCTCGGAGTTAAGGTTTGCCCTTCAGGAAGCAGCAGGTTACTTAACATGTACTTGATTTCACCATAACATGCATTATGGCATTTTCTTTTCTTTTTTCTTTTTTTTTTTTTTTGAGATGGAATCTTGCCCTTTTGCCCAGGCTGGAGTACAATGGCACGATCTCAGCTCACTGCAACCTCTGTCTCTCAGGTTCAAGCGATTCTCCTGCCTCAGTCTCCCGAGTAGCTGGGATTACAGGTGCCCGCCACCACACCTGGCTAATGTTTTTTTTTATCTTTAGAAGAGATGGGGTTTCACTATGTTGGCCAGGCTGGTCTCGAACTCCGGACCTCATGATCCGCCCACCTCAACCTCCCAAAATGCTGGGATTACATATGTAAGCCACTGCACCTGGCTGACATTTTGTTTTCTTAAAAGGTCATTATCAGACCCCACAAGATTATTTCTATAAACTGTGACTCAAGTATAGCCTCGTGTTAGTAGCTTAAAATAGATTTTCTTTACCTTTTTTGCCCTTTAAAAGCGAGGAATTTTTTTTAATGGAAAGAACATAGACTTTGATGATCAGTTCACATCCTTGCTTTACCCCTGGAAAAATGTGTAACCTGGAAAGATAGCTTAACATTCCTAAGTCACATTTGTCCAAATAATAAAAACAATGGCAACAAGACTTCAGTACTAATGTCTGATGTTTTTTGTATGATTAATCTGTGCCAGGTTCCATTCCAGTTTCTTTACACACATTATACCATCTCATTCTCACAAGAACTTTGCATAGCAGGCATTGTCATTTCCACTTTACAGGCAGGAACCCGAAGACCAGAGTTAAAAGTAACTGGTCCAAAATTGCCTAGTTAATAAATGGTGGAACTCGCAGTCAGACCCAAGCTGGTTTGGGGCAATACACTTGACCTTCTTACGATATGTCAGCCTTGTGAAATAGGAAAGATACTATTAATAATATCCGCCTTGTGTGATCATTTTGAAGGTTAGATATAATGTGTGTGAAACTCCTGTCACCAAAGTTGTTCCACAAGAGGCCCTAAACAAATGAGTAATCATTATTACTTTAAAATGTCCATAAGTGAAACTGATATGCCAAGACCAGTAAAAATGAGAGCCTCATAAGGAAAAGAGTAGGAGGCATACCTTTGTTTCATTTTGTTTGTTGGTTTCTGTGCTTGCTTGTTGTTCTTTTCTGTTAGGCACAGGTTTCATTTAGAAAAAATTAAATTGTTTTTTCTTTGATGAGTGCAGAAAGAATAGTTGGAAACATTGAATGGAACAGCTAATGTACCATTGTAATACTTCTCAGATTACAAAAAAAAAATTAAATCTGTAAAATGAAAACTTTTTTTACTTTTGTCAATTCAAAGTTGTGTTATCTAGAGAGTTTTGTTAAACTCAGGGTTTCTATATGTATGATTGTCTGCTAAATTCAGGATTATAAGAGAAGAGATAATGGCGCTAACTTTGCATATTAAATATACTATGTTACCAGTTTTCCATGAAGCTTTTTCTCAACAAATAATTTACTAAAAGGGCTGTGACCTATGAGTTTCACCAAGTCTTTCCATTTCCAGTTTCGACAACAAAAGTTTCACACTTCTTTAGTTACTCTTGTGGGATAAATCAGAATGCCAGTGATCACCTTGATCCAAGCATATTATTGGAGAAAAATTCAAGGATAGGTATTTGTTTCTTGTTAGATTTTCCTCATATTTCATCATTGGGGTCACTCCAATACATAGTACTAGAATTTGGGATTTTTATTTCATGTTAGATTGGACTCATTTTCTGGTGTTAGTCATTAAAAATAATTTCAACTCTTTGAAGAGATCTGGGATGTTTGTTATTATTCTATTGATTAAATGAAGCTATTTTATTTAACAATTGTGTTGTTAAACTTTCTATATACTTAGAATAGTAATACCAAAAACTGAATGGATATGAGCTTTTCTTATTGAATTTAATGTCAATATCAAATACCTTGTTGAAACCCATACTTTGAAAGCTTGATTGAGAAATTGGCAAAAGAGTTAACTGAAATAAAAATAATGAAGCAGTTTACTGGTCATCCAGGTTATGAAAGATTAAACCGTTAGAGATAAACTGAACTGTGAATATTATGATCATGGTGTTTTCGTAAATACCATCTATGTCTCTGTCACCATTCTAAATAAAAGTACCCTGTCAAACGGTGAAAAATAAGAGTAATGTTTCTTTGACCATTTCATTATTGAGTTTTCTTATATTTGAAATGTGGGAGGTTGAACTAAAATTCGTTGGTTCCCTTCTCTAAAAAGGTATAGTTATATGTGATATTTATTTATTTATATAAATAAAAATATGGAGATCTTACCTTGAAAATAACTTTTGAGATAAGAATGATAAAGTATCTAAATGGAAGATGAATAAAATTGTACCTGATTTGTAAATTATTATATAAAGAAAATGTATAAAATATGTAGAAATTGTCTATACAAAAAACTACAAACAGTGGTCCATTGCCTATTAACAAAGAGTTTCATCTTATCTAAAAAGTCTTGAATTGGCTACAACAGCAGAAGAATAGAAATTGCATAGTATAATATAACCTAAAAACATTTCAAGCCCATAGATACTCTTCTCCATGCAGCCAGTATTTATGAACTTGGGGTAAGTGACCTACTCTTAGATATTTGAGCTTGATTATAATTCATAGTCAAGGTAGCCTCCTTGTAAATAACCAAAATTAACCAAAGATTTTTCCTTATCTTCCAAAAGCAATGCCAAGTAATTCTATCCAAATTGGAAAAAAAAAAAAAATTAGGTGTCATCAAATGGTGTTGACATAATGATATATATGTTTAAGGATAATGTAATAGAATATGCAATTAAAAGTACAGTATATAGAAAAAAATAGATTTTGTTTTAAAACATAAGGCGATTTAATAATGTGGGTCACAGATTCTTTTTAGTTTTATAATAAATATATTGATTTCTGAAATTTGGGAATATTCCATAGTACACTTAGCTTATGCTTATGTTAATACTGAGGACAGATTGCTGTCAGCCTAATAGCTTGTAGATATATTATAGTCACACTACAATCATTCTGTCAGTTTTCAATTTCCCCTTTTCCCGTGATGTTTCTTTCATCTTGTTAGCTTTCTCTCAAGACCTTCTCTAAATACCTTTAGTAGTAATTCACAAACTGTTTGTTAGTTAATAGTTCTCAAGAAAATTCTGAGATTTGGTTGACAGAACTTAGATTGTTGATTTGTTTTTGGATTCCTAGCCAAAGTTTTATTCTTTGTTTCTTAAAAATACTCAAAAAAGTTTTTTTCCTTACTGTAAGCCCTCTGGAAATAGAAGCAAATCACCGTTTATACATTTAAAATGTGATGAAAATCACAAAATAAAGTCCAATGAAATATAGGGCTTATATCTATTAGTGCCTTAAGAAAAATCCCTGTTTTCTAAAGTGTGAGTGGGCTTTTCTGGTGTGTTTTTGTTTTTTTAAAGCTCCAGGACCTCCCAATTTTCAAGGGCACTTTGGGGCATGTGTAGCGTTTATTTGATGTATGGATGTAGATGCATATTTTCCCACATCTGTCTCTGTGGACCTATGCTTTGTGAAATCCTAAACCTTGTATTAATGCTTAGTTTATGATTCATGGTGTTCTGAGAGCAATTATATAATTTTTCTTGGGGTGTTTATTCTGTGTGCACTGTAAAAAAAATGAGAGTTATTTTTTGGTAACCCTGCACTTGCCTTTTTATTGATGAATTTCTTTTCCTTTTACTGTGACCTGTGAATATCACTGTAGGCTTACTGCCAATTTTGTGAGCTGCTGCCTGCTTCAAAATGGAGGCAGGAAGGTATCCATTTTCATCAAGAGGATGACAGTGTTTCAGTCTTTCTGACCATCTGGAGAGAGGAACTTTGAGAGCAAAAGAAAATGGGGATTAAAAAAAATTATATTTAGCAGAAAAGGCAAGGGGGAAAACCAATTGAAGTTAAACTATACCTTATGAATTTGTGCTTTTCTAATATGCTGTCCTGTTTAAAGAAAACATAAACAAGAAAATACACAGGCTATTTTTATAAAGAATTGATTTCCCAAGTCTCATGAGTATTAGTAAATGAATGTAAGTAAATTAGGTTTTTGGCACACTTTTTAAGTTTATTGTACACACAAATATAATAAGCATGAAAAAGGAGGGCTCCCTCCTCCCGATTCCTTTGCATACGCTGATTGTTGGTGGTCTTATGTAGATCCAGGCTTTTAATGGCCTTTTTCATGCATCTCTGCAAAAAGCTGACACTGTGGGAATTTAATATTCTAAGATATATTTATCATTTTCTGTGGTTTGGATAGTTCATTTGTGTTCTCTGTCTCTCCCTCTGTCTCTCTCTCTCTCTTTCTCTCTCTCTGTCTGCTCCCCCCTCCCCTCCCTACCTCCTCTCTGTAAAAGTGAAATTTTTAATTGAAAGGTAGAGTTTTTACTCTACCATTTGAAGAGGTTTGATGCAGGTCTTTCTGTTTTTACCTTTTTTACATGCTTATGGACCATCTGTGTTTAGAAGAAAAAGAAAGAAGTGCTTAGACTCACAGGATTACCCTATGGGCATTATATAGCGTATTTACAGCTAGACGTGGTTTACATCGACTGGAATATAACACACCTGGTTATTTTCTATTCACACAAATACACTGAGCTTTTATTTTGTTTTGTTTTGTTTTGTTTTGTTTTATTTTAGTGTGTTCAGAAAGAGCACTGTTTCTAGGGTTTGTTCAGATTTAAACTGGAAAGAGTAGAAATGTAGCACTTTCTGCCTACTTCTTATAAAAGAATGGAGCTTCAGATGCTTTGGTCAATGCAAAAAGCAAAACTCAGTTGGTTCTTTCTCCTCAGGTCTATGCTCCATCAGCAAGCACTGCCGACTACAATAGGGACTCACCAGGCTATCCTTCCTCCAAACCAGCAACCAGCACTTTCCCTAGCTCCTTCTTCATGCAAGGTAAGATGCTGCTGCTTCTGAGGGAAAGGCCACAGGGTAGCATTTTCCTGGGTCACTTAATGTCACAGATAGGGCAAAAGAAGTGGAATAGTAGACACGTGTAGAATTTTTGAAGTCATACTCTTCTTAGGAATTGAATTCCTTAAAAATTGATTATTAATTAAAACTGTACTAGGCCTTTCTTTACAATTAAACCCCTTTGAGCAGTAATGGGTTAAGATTAGATTGATCTGCTTCACTTAGAGCCAATGCTCCTGCTGGTCTTCCACGCATGACCAACCATTTCAGCATATTCACCATCCCCAAGACGATGTAGCTGTTAGTTTAGAAGTGGTTCATCTTCATGTATGTTTAGAACATCCTGGATTTAGCCAGCTGGGAACAAGTTGGCCTAATGTATGACCTTATGTAAAATTTTCATCCACTTACTAATTTGTAGGAAAGAACAAGGCTCCAAGATGAAGTAACCTACAACAGACTGGAATATTACATGGTGAAAGTTCTGTCCCAACATAGTAACTGGTTTAGGATAAAAGACCCAACTTTTGGGGGAGAAGACATATAGAAAATACGGAATTATCCAGTATGTTTAAATACATGGATGTGTGTCCCTACACTGAGCTTTTAGTCTTGCCACGGATAGTGTATACCTTTCTGCTGCTCAAAAAAGACCAAGATGTGACCGAGTGCAGTGGCTCATGCCTGTAATCCCAATACTTTGGGAGGCCAAGGCGGGTAGATCACAAGGTCGGGAGATTGAGACCATCCTAGCCAATATGGTGAAACCCTGTCTCTACTAAAAATACAAAAAATTATCTGGGTGTGGTGGTGTGTGCCTGTAGTCCCAGCTACTCAGGAGGCTGAGGCAGGAGAATGGCGTGAACCTGGGAGGCGGAGCTTGCAGTGAGCCGAGATTGCACCACTGCACTCCAGCCTGGGCAACAGAGCGAGACTCTGTCTCAATAAATAAATAAATAAATAAATGAATAAATAAATAAATAAATTTTTAAAAAGACCAAGATGTTTGAAATGACAGCAGCTACTTCAAGAATGAACCACTTGGAGTATGCTCCTAAGGACTCCATCCTGATATGTGTGTGGCACTTATTTCTAATGTAATTATCTTGTTACCAAGTTAATGCCCTGAATTTAGATGAGGAATTTACCAAGAACCCCTGTGTGCAAAAATTTAACTCTTTTTGCCCAGGTATGAAAACCTTATTTGTATAAGCCTTGTCTACGGGCCATGGGTTTTCTTTCTTTATGCACCTCTAGGAAGGGCCATGTCACAGGAAGGTGAGCACATTTGGGGCAGAGAGTACCAGGGAAGCAGCCTGATTATAGTGGACACACTCAAAGTCGTTCTCATTAAAAGATATTAATCTTCCTTCCCTTCAGTGTGTTAGCTCTTTTAGTTTGTTAATTCACATGTGAAATTCCATGGAAATTTATAAAATTGGGTGGAATGGCTCCCTTGGGAATAGGGAGAAGTTGTTCCACACATAATAGAGCTCATGTGTCAGAAGTCCTTTATCTTTATGACCCATCCTAGGTGTAACTCTCAAAGGGACACAGCAGGCTATGTCACCTGGGTGCATTTTGTGCCATGACAAAAAGCTTATCACCTTCAGCTGTAAACAGTAGCTACCTCAGCATCAGTCCCCTCTTTGGTGAGCAGTGGGAGATATTGTCCTACAGGTGTTTACAGAGATTGGCAACTCAGGGATCCATTATACAAAACAGATTTTGATTAAAAAAATTGGTGGAAGGATACATTTCTTCTATCTGCCCAGGAAAGTGGCTTTCTCAAAGGGTGCACATTGCTGGGTAGGCCAGGTAGATTAAATCAGTAGGCTCCTTTCCCTAGCAGACCACCCAAAATATGGGGAACAAATTTGTTTCTCTGCATATGCACACCCAAAAAGCAAAAAAAAAAAACAAAAAAAATTGAGTTGACATTTATGATGAGCACAATTAATTTGCACACGTCTAATTCTGTTCTTTCAAAACAACATTATGCCAAGATCATGGGATGTGATAAATATTAATTTACTGTGAAAAGCGTAATTTATGTAGAATATGTATTTTTATAAGTCCGCATCAAGCAGAGTATTCTATGTTAACAGTCCTAAATGCATTGCCACCCAGTGTATCACATTGTCAGAAGACTTTTGTTCAGTGGTATATGTTTTCAATTTATTTGTCATGTGTGCCATCTATTTAAAATGTTAGTGGTCTTGAACGTCATATTTGAATTTAAGGTGATATTTAAACCTTCGTAATCTAAGGACAAAAGCTCAAGTACATGAATGATAACTTTTTAAAAATCCTGTGTTTTCACATCGTGGCCACAGAAGCAGTTGCATCACGGTTCTGTCCCATATCAGCTTCCCTTCAGTAGAGGGTTACTTGGTGCCCTGAGAATTCAATACTTGAAGGAATATGCAATTAAGGTGAAAGATATTCAGAAACTGTCTGGGGCATATTGTAAACTCACTACTGTGGCCTCTTATTTTTAACTTCTATTTCCATCGTCTAGTTAAAACTCTGAAGTTGTCAAAATCACAGACATGATTTTGCTTGCATGGTTCTTAAAGAGAGGAATCTACAAACTGTTCCCCCCAATCTGAAATGAGCCCAGTTCCAAAATTCTAACTTCCGGATTTAAGAAAGAGCTTCATGAAATACAGTGTCAGATTTAACTTTTCTATTTCCTAACTTTTTAATAGGCCTTTATTAAATAAAATGTTACGGTAAAAATAATCTTATTTTCAAGGAAGCAATATCTGCTATACATTTAACAGCCAGCTGATGGCCTGGTATATACCTAGTACTCAATACTTTTTGTTAAAGTATTGAAAAAAAGAAAAAAATGAATGAATTTAGCAGTAATGTAGATCTTCTTTTCCCTTAAGCTTGGGAAACCAAACCTAAACAATAGCAATTATTAATAATAACCTGTAGGCCAACAGGCCCAGAGAATGAAAAAATCTGTAGGGATGTTTTTAATAATGGTGTTAACAAAAGGATAACCTCATATTGAAAGATACTTTATATAATTTTAAACCTCTATAATTCATAAATCATTTTATAAAATCCAGAGACTGTCAAAATTATCTGTAATATAATAGCCACCTAGTGCATGTGTGTACCCTTTGGATTGCTACTGAAGGTTTAAGATAGCTATATAGCTATACACCAAAAAATACAAATAAAATATCCTAAGAACTATATATTTGAGATTCATCTTCTCTGTATGCCATAATATAATTAAAATTCCAACTTTAATTCTATTGCGTATGTTAAAAATGAAATTAAACATTTTCAACCTAAGATTTTTTAAAATTAATACTTCTTTATATGCTTTTAAAACTTGTCAACTTTGTAATTTCTCAAATACTTTTCACCCCAAAGTTTAGGAACAATTTAACTTTTTAGTTGGTTTTCATAGAAAAAAGGGTTAGAAGACTTCTAAGAAATGTTTCCTTTAGCAGTAATTACCTTGCTGACTTGACATAATTCGTGGTAGAAGTATGCTCTGTTGTTCTTTTACAGTTGAATTTTTACCAAGAACACTTTAACTTTAAGTGTTTATATTTGTTTGACAATATAGAGCCACTTGGGAAGAAATGATGACTGTCTTCTGATGTAATCAGCTAACAAACACAAAGATGAATAACACAACAGGCAGTCATTTTCAAGTATATGAAAAAACCCTATTCTATAAGGCAAGGCTGAATGCCTCAGAAAGTCATGGTTCTCTTTGTCCTTTACAGATGGCCATCACAGCAGTGACCCTTGGAGCTCCTCCAGTGGGATGAATCAGCCTGGCTATGCAGGAATGTTGGGCAACTCTTCTCATATTCCACAGTCCAGCAGCTACTGTAGCCTGCATCCACATGAACGTTTGGTAAGGCAGATGTACACGATAATGGGAATATCACAGCTAGTTTATTATACTTCATCCTCTGTCTTTCCATGCATGTACACAAGGACTCTGCAAATAAGTGCAAAAATTGCACACACCCGTTGTTCTAAAGTTGTATTCTTTCTGTGATCAAAGACATAACAGGATCAGATCACCTTTGTAAATCCTTCCAGATTCCTTCTGGCATTGTTCTTTTGTTTATTGTGTTTTGCTCTGTGCCTTCTTTATCACAATGTCAGCTTCCTTGAGTACATAAATAGATACTTATTTAAGCATGGTGGTTCCTGGTCATTTTTTGCTATCTGTGGTTTCAAAGGATGTACTGCAGAGGGCAGAGTGATGGTCAGTAGGTTATATGCATCACCCAGGAGCATTTAATTTCCCCTTGACTGGCTTATGTCAGCTTTGGCCTGTTGTGATGTATCCAGAAAAAGAAGTTTATATTTTCTGTAGACTTCCATCAGTAAGAGAAAGCATGAGGTTTCTACATAGATCAGATTCCCATTTTTCAGTATTTTAATTCCCATCCTAGCCTGCCACTCATACTGTGTTTTGCCTCACTCCAGGTGAAAACTGCTGGGCTCTAGAATGTTAAGTCTTTCATTACTAAACGTTTGCACTCTGTCCGTCACCTACATTCATCTATCATAGTATCTCTTTATCCTGAAGGAAACAACTCAACTGACTTTCTTCTAGCCTTAAGTGTCACCACAGCCCAGAATCCACTGTTGAACTTAAGTCTGTCATTAAAGGGAGGAAAAAGCCTAGATCTTGAGTGAGATTTGGGATGCAGATAAGATGAAATTTGAATCCCTTGTGCAAGAACATAGCTTAATATGTGAACCTCAAATCCTACAAATGTGAAAGCATATGGGAAATCCAGTGATCCTAGGTGATACTTACACCACTACTCTTCATCTTGCATTTGTCCCTTTTTCTTCTCATATCCACATGTAGGTTTCTTTTTCTGTTCTGATAAAGGAAGTCATTCTGGATTCATGTGGTCTTTGCTCTCTTTTGCTTAACCAGTACATATACAGGATCTGATATCCTACTCCAATAATCAAAAAAATTCCAGAAGTTAAGATTTCTGATATCCTTGAAAATCCATATTTAGTTGTTCCTAGTGGTGGAGATGCCTTAGTAGTCAATTAGCCTGTACATTCCTGAGAGGCAAACAATGGAAATGGAATGGGCCTTTTTGTATCATCTCCCAAGACTGAATGTGTAAATCACAAACTATCTCACATTTCAGCACATTTCCAGTAAATAGCAGTTGACTTGTTTTCAAATTTTCTCTTCACCCACCTCCTATTTGGAGATATTAGAGTGAAAGCTTAGAGAAATGTCAACTATATCAACTATTATTATGCTAGAATTCGTTTTGGCTAAAATTTTCATTTCTCCACCATCATTTTCCAATTCTCTGGGAACTCATCATCAGTCAAAACTATGTGTCCTATGAGCAAGGAAAGTTTTGATTACAAATAAAAGTTTTAGGCACTATACCAGCATGTTGGAATTTCAGTTCTTTTAAGAGTTGCCCATTTGATGTTAATTTTTCTTCCCTCCTGTGTTTCTTTCTTTTCCTGTCATTCTTGAGAGTTTTGAGTTAGGCGATTTGATTTTATCCTAGTCCGGTTCACTGCTTGGGAAGCAGCTTTAAAATGTGCTTCCATGCACAAAGAGTGTAATTTCAAAATGGAAACCAACTATATTCCTTTTAGAAAAAGTCTTACAGAACCAAAACAGTATTATCAACCAGAGAGAAAAGAGCATTTTGAAGTAGTAACCCAATAGGCTATATCAGAAGCTGTATTTGCAGTGCCATTTACCTATCACAAAACACAGGATTTTCATTTTTCATCTGATCAGTTAACAGATTTCAGAGAGTAGAATTTTTGTTTTAAAGGGGATATGAATAAGCTATCTTGTAACGTATACTAATGAATTTTCCCACTGTTAGTGAAACTATTGAATTATTGTATCTAGTTATCATTGTACTTGCAGTATTTAACCATCTGAAAATCTTTTACTGAAGTGACTTAGAAGAATCTGACACTGAGAATACTTTGAATATACAGTAGCAGTTGGCGTCGTTTCAGTTGAAAATAATGGTAGTTCCTTATAATTTTATTCTTAGCATCTGGCTAGCCCCATACTAAACAAAGGGATAGTTTAAGAAAAAGCTAAGTGCTGTTCCTGGATTATTTGGGGGATAATTTGGCCAAGTTGATATTATCTCTAAAGATAAAACATTTTAAAAACATCATTGCCTTCATCACTTTATGCCATGTTATAACAGAATGTGTAATTATAAAACTTCAGATCCACATACTTTCAGTAGCAACTGTCAAGTTACCGACGTTTAGTCTTTAAATCCCCTTTACAGTTTTAGCCTGTCCAACAGAATCCCACAGCTAATCATTACTGTGTTACAGATACCCACACGAAATCACTCAGATGAATGGAGTTTGCGATTAAGCTTTGGAATGGGTTGTTGTAGATGATTTTACGTTTGGAATGACTTGGCAGGGTTCTTTTTAAGAACAGGATAGAGTCCTCACTGTCTGGCATGATTTAGGCATGGTCTTTGCACTACAGGGCAAAACAGTCCTAGGAATCTGGAATTTTCCTTTAAAGGAAGTTCTGTTGTCTTTTTTTTTTTTGTAACATAAACCCTTACTTCAGTAATTCTCAACTGATGGCAGTTTTTCCCTTTGGGGAACGCTTGGCAATGTCTGGGGACATTTTCATTGTTACAACTAGGGACTAGATGCTACTGGAATCCAGTGCATAGAGGCTAGGGGTGCTGGTAAACATGACGTCATATACGGGAGAGCTTCCACAGCAAAAAATCAGTAGTGCCAAGGTTCAGTAGTGCCAAGGTTGCGAAATCCTGCCCAAACCCAAAGCATGATTTTATTCTTATTTATGTGCACCAGTTATTATATTTTTCCAATCTTTGAATTATCAACCAGTATATCACTAATGGAAACATTTCCAACAGTTACTTTGTTAATAGACACAAAATACACTACTCTTGGGCATCACAAGTTAAAATGAATGAATAGTGGGCATGTAAAGCCTCACACTTTGTCACACTCCTCATGTCCTTTGTAGCAAGCAGGAAAGACAGTAATAGCTGGATTGAGAGACTAAGAGGACCTCTTATAGTTGATCCCTAAATCGTCTAAAAGAGACATTATTCTCTGGTGTATTTATTACATCTCTGAATGACAGTAGTTTTCAAGATAGTTTTTAATGTAAAATAATCTAGTTATAAATCTCATTAGTTTATTTCAGCATCTAATTTTCTGTGAATCTCTAAAAATAACTGATTTACATGGATTTCATTGGTTTCCATCTTTATAATCTATGGGGATTAATTTTTCCTTTTATTCTGTGAACTCAGCATTAACCCTTCATCAAATCCCAAATTACTGCCCGTTTTACATAAAGTTAAAAGGGCCCAAAGATTCTCACCAATGTGACTATCTGTTTTGTTTTGTTTCCTCTTCTGATTATTATAGTTAGTTAAATATTTATTATTCTTTTCCTCTTTTTTTGATTTTTGTACATTTCAGACTGATTTGTAGTTCATCTGTTCTTCAGAAATTCCACATGGAATAGGACTGTGTAGAAGTGAAGTTAAACTTAGTCATCTCTTTGTTGTTGTTGTTGTTGTTGTTTGAGATGGAGTCTTGCTCTATCGCCCAGGCTGGAGTGCAGTGGCGCAATCTCGGCTCACTGCAAACTCCGCCTTCCAGGTTCACGCCATTCTCCTGCCTCAGCCTCCCAAGTAGTTAGGACTACAGGCGCCCGCCACCGAGCCCAGCTAATTTTTTCTATTTTTGGTAGAGACAGGGTTTCACCGTGGTCTTGATCTCCTGACCTCATGATCCACTTGCCTCGGCCTCCCAAATTGCTGAGATTACAGGCATGAGCCACCGCGCCCAGCCCGTCATCTGTTTTTTTGTTCTTTTTTCCACATTCTGTTTCTTTTCCTCCATTTTCTTATAGTGTTTACCTCTATAGCAGAAATAGCTCTATCCCTGCTAAGCTTTCAGATTAGCTGTACTATGGAATGAGCCCACTATTATTTTTCATTGGAGAAAATTCCATGGACTACCTGGGGCATTCATTAAGTGGCAAGTAGAAGTGAGTTTAACAGGTAGCCTAAGGAATTTTGGGGTCAAGGAAAGAAAGAGGTCCATGGAATTTAAAAATTTGGAAGGCATTCTCAGGAACTTGGAAAGATGTAAAGGCATCATCTTAACTTTTTTACTGACGTCCTTTAAGTTGGGCTGCTTTGGTTTTCCAGAGGTAATATTTTCAAAAACATTCATGTATCATTGAAAATCCTACCTCTAATACATAGATTAATTTCCTTAGACTAGTTGGCTCTCAAATAAGTTATACTTCAATCCACTGTTTATTAAATTCTAACTGTTAACCAATTGTTCGTTGAGCATATGGTATAATTATGTGTTCAGTAGTTAGCCGCAGGTTGTGGGATGCAGAACTATAAGCTCTATTCCTTTAAATAGTTTACAATATAGGTGAAAATACATTAGAAAGAGCAAGAAATGAAAGGCAAAATATAATTAAGTGTTAAAGAGCATAGTGCAGAATGTAAGTGCGTTAGGGACCCAGAGAGAAGAGATGGTGGAAGAGTTGGAGGGTAGTTAGGGACTCTTCAAGAAAGAGGTAGAATTCAAGATGGATCTCACAGAGTAAATAGGGCAACACTCAAGAGACTATCATTTCATTCCTCCTGAGCAAATGCTTGGGTTTTAAATACCCGTGACTATCAGCATCATATTCAGTCTCTAATTTTGAAATATACAATTTTAAGAGCGTTTCCAATAATGATACAATAAAGCGTCATAGTCCATTAATATATTGCATATGAAGAAAAAGTATATTTTAGCTTTAATACTTTACATAACACATTCAGATGCCTATGAGAATAACTTTTGAAGCTGCTTTTTATCAAAATAGCTCAGCACGTTTTTGTAAATTACTATGTCCATTTTAGTGATCTGTTCATTCCCAAGCAGATGGGTAGATTGCAACTAATTTGCCACCTTACAGGCACTGTGGCATACCCAAGAAAGGCAGCTTATTTGGAAAACTAATGTAATAATTAAACTCAAAGCAGAGTCTTAAACCAAATGATTCTGTAAAGATGTTGTTCTTTCATTGCCAGCTATATGAGGATTGCTTGTAGGTGGGGCATGTAAAGAAAGGACTCAAACCAAAATAAGTCATGTGGTCCTAATTTAATTCAGTATAGTCAATGGTTACATATTGATGAGTAAGAGAGATATTTAACCATTAGTGCTTTTTAAATTTTTTATTGACTAAATTTTATTGTTGCTGGGGTTCAAAAATAATAATTTAATTTGGGAAGAAGAAGATTGGAAACTGGTTAGTCTTTGCCATTTAGTTTCAAGAAAGTCAGGATGAAATGTAATATAAGCCCTGTGGATCATAATGTTGTTTTATTCATTATATAGTGGAATCTTTTCCACTTGATCAGCAGGCCACACAAAAAAATTAATAGTAGAGTGGTCTTTTATGCCGCTGAAACCCTGGAGATGATTTTAAACAGTAATCTGCAGATTTCAAGATTGTGATCATTTCTCAATGCCCCTCATTGCCATTATATTCCTCCACAGTTGATGCAAACCCAAGCTAACTGTGTTTCTGTATAACTTATTATTTGAAAAATGAAAGCTGTCAGATCTAAGCAAGATATATTCTTGGCTATTTTGAAATTCTAATAGCTGTCTCCATTGTAAAATAGAGAGTTGTCAGAAAAGTATTTGAAAATAACTCACTGAATACCTTATGATTAAATATGGCCACCTTTTTCTGCTTCTTGCTATAGAGCTATCCATCACACTCCTCAGCAGACATCAATTCCAGTCTTCCTCCGATGTCCACTTTCCATCGTAGTGGCACAAACCATTACAGCACCTCTTCCTGTACGCCTCCTGCCAACGGGACAGACAGTATAATGGGTGAGTCACAGAAATGCCAATTCTGATACCGACAATCGGTGTCAGGGTTTAATCATCAAGGACCTCTTTTTCCCTTTCATAACTGAATAGCAATTAGGCAATAAATATTAGTCACATAACAGAATGAACACACAAATGAACCAATCAGAAGTAAAATCACTGGCTTGAGCATAACCGTATTTTTGGTCACAAGACACTGAAATTTAACTACGTTCTCCATCACGAGTCATTAGATTGAACAAGGGTTCAAACAGACCAAAACTATCTTGTTCTTCACATTCAAAAAGAGTGAACAAAGTCATAAGACGAGCCTAGTGAGACTAGGAGCTACAAAGCAGAATAACTCTTAATGGTAGTTATCAACCACTTCCCAAAAATCCAGTCATTGTGCTAGGCTTTTATCCATGGTGTGCCACTGTCTTCCGAGGACTGGTTAATGTGAAATTCTCAGGTGACTGATAATAACTCCATGAGGTTAATCTTCTGGAGAATGTGACACTGTGGAGTCCCTCAGAGGGGAAGAAGTATTTGTTCACTTATGAGAGAGGAGATGCCTGGGCATCAGTTGGCCAGAAATTATTTGTTGCTGCTTTTAATTAATTAATTTATTTATTTTTACCAAGGACATTTACCAGTAAGTTAAGATTCAAGAAGAATGCTGCCCCCATGAACTGAGCCATCATACTCTCATTTATCATGATGTTCACTGTGGTCTTTTCCGTAGGACAGGTGGTTCCCCGATCAGCATTCCCACTTCGAGGAATGAACTGAACTGGATGTCCAGCTGCCCCTGGAGGGTAGAGGTGGAGTTGGTGGGGAGATAGCTACCTGCTTCTGAACCAGCTTTGACACCTTGTTGTTCAGATGAGCAGCAAGCTTAGTGCACCAGGGTCTTATTAAAACCTCAGACTTCTCAGGTGATCACTTTCTGTGGTTCTAGCTCAAACTAACTCCTTTCTTGGCCTGAATGTCACTCTTAGAGCATCAGTGGGGAGAATACTCAGTGTATGTCTTTGAGAGAAGATTGCGCAACAGAATAATGGTGCTGTTGAGTCCTCTTAGCTCTTTGTACTTGTTTTCTTTAGAGAGTGTGTAGAATTTGGGGAAGTGGCGTGAATCACTTATGTAGGAACGTTTTTCATGAAGGAGGAGAGATGTGTTTTGAAACGTTGGAAATATAATTTCTGCCTCAATAGTGCCCTCTCTGCTTATTCAATAATATATTTCACACTTGAGACGAGCCATCTCGAAGCCTCTCCACTCCACTGTCGTGTCTAAGAAGCAAATTGAGGAGAGAGTTTCCATTTTTTTAACTTTTCCTAACCAAGCTTCTACAAATATGTTGCATCAGTTTGACCTTGGAGAGCTACAGACAGAGGTCACATGGGGAAGTTTGTTAGCTATCAATGCAGTTTTGGCAGATTTGAAAAACAAGAAGAAAGAAAGCAGTGCAGAACTGAAAGAGTGAGAAAAGCATATTTCACTTCAATGTGGTTTGACAAATGGAAAGCCCCTTTCTGCAGTCATGAGGTCTGGTTATGAAGAAGGATGACCGGTCATTCATCCTTTTACATGACAGATTTCCTGTCTACTTGTGGTTTGAGTAATTTTCTTTTTTAGGAAGGTATGAAGGTGGAGCAGAACCTTGAGTTGAGGAAAACATATTTAGGCGCTGTTTGAAAAAAAGTTTTTCTGATTGATTTGCAAAACAGTCCTCTTAAGAGAGAGGCACTATGACTTGGAAAGGACATATCAGGAAATGGGGTGGTTATCTCCATGAGCTGTAGACAGCTTAGCCACAACTCTCAGTGGGAATGAGTTTTGCTTGGTTTTAGCTGGTCATTGTCATTAGTTTGTGGATGAACAGGAGAATCCACTTGTTGGTCTAGCCAGAGTGGAGCAATAGGTGACTTCTGTATGCTGAGAATAGACTTAACTTGTTAAAAACCATAGGGCCTTATTTAAGGGTCTTGACAATAATAAAAGTGCTATAATTTAAAAACAAAAGTATGAGATTTTTAGAACTCAGGAAAGGGCTTTCTAGAAATTTATTTCATATAATGGATGCACTTGTCAAAATCCACCAGCAGAATGATAAAAAGATGCATAATCTTTCAGGAAATAGGTAGACATGGTAATTCAGCATTTTGTAGGCACAAACCTTTATTATTATGCATAAATACAGATATTACTTTAAGGTTACTTTAAGGGAGAACATTCGAGAATGCTTTTCTTTAAAATAATATTTTCCCCAATTGCGTACGTGAAAATGCAGAGGAAAATTTAAGCATAATAAGCCTTAGTATTGCGTGATGTCTGAGTGGCCCATGTTTTTTCACATTTAAGTTCTCTTAGGCTTTGATTTGATTTTTCGAGTGTGGTAGAAGTCAGTGATGGCAGTGTGTCTGTATAACAAGAAGAGAAGCTTTCTCCTCTGATGTTAGTGATACTTCCCTAACAAACAGTATGGATTAATAGGATACATCTGCAGACTTTTGAAAATATTTGGCATATACTCACTCATTCTGAAACACAGGAAGTAAAGAAATATTACGTTGCCTGTATCTCAAAGAACAAACAGAGCTAATTAAATAATTGGCAAATAGGGAACACATAGCCTGACACATGTTTGAGATTACACACGATTCTGTAGAAAATGACTGTAAGCAATACTAATGCCTTAAGAATGGGGTTCAAGCACTAACACATGGACATCACATTTTTCACGTTTTCTTGGTAAAAAGTTGCAAGACAGTGCAGTCTTTTCATACAGGGTGTTGATGTCTTAGGAAGCTGCTTTTTCAGTTTAGAAGAGGGCTGCTGCCCTTCATCTCAGTGTCATGTTATAATATGTCTTTCTGGTGGTCAGCAGTTGTCCTGAACTGACACTAGAACAACGCAGTGCATGTGGGGTGAGATACAAGCTCTAGAACTCTCAGAAAGGAACCTCTCTGTAACCACATTCCCTTTCTTCTTCTTCTGTCCTCTGCATCTCAAAGATGGAAGATGTCCACTGAGGTTTACTATTTGTTTGGCTTGGGGGAGTGACTGGGTGTTTCTTGCTTTGTTTTCTTTTGCCCTGTAATACCCAATATCATTTTTTTGAGAAATCCTTAAGAATGATAAAGATTACATTAATGAGGTGTGTGTGTTTTTGGTTTTTTTTTTGTTTTTTTTGTTTTTTTATGACACATTCATCCATGGATTTTCAAGAGAATTGTAGAACAAGGTATTTTATTCATCGCATACAGTCCACTACTTTTCTCAAGCCTCACTGGCACACTCTGGAGATCATATTAGACCTTTCTGAATTGAAAGGGTCATCTAATTAGCCCTACAGTTAGAGGAATATAATGTATGGGACACAAGCATCGATTCACAGTAGTTCAGCTGGCGACACACCCAGTTAAGGAGAGAAGCTGTCAGGGGTCTTTGGGAGTTACCAGCATCAGTACCTTCTACTCAGTTCTTCAGACTCTTTCAATGTTATGCCACTGGGCATTCTCAGAAGCAGTGCAGTTCAGTGCCTCTGCATCTGAGCATACATACGGAGGAGGAAGTGTAGTATGTTATTAGATACCAGCTATAGCGAATAGGAGTGTCTACAGGATAGTAACCATAAATATTTGGTTAGCCACATATTTCCTTCCTATTTGCAATAGTATCCAGTAGCCCTTCCTGATGGAAAGAAGTAAGAGGACCTCCTACCATAGCACAGACCACTGAGACTGCTCAAGGATAAGAATGCTTTATCTCCCCATTGGGACATACCATCTGTATACATTCACAGGGTGTGACCCTTTGTGGTTTGAGGCTACACACACTCTCTTGCCCTCAGAGAGAATTGCTCATATAACTAACATAATGGTTATAATAACTATTATTGTTTTATTAGTCTTTAACTGGCCTGCTTTCTAATACATGGTCTTTTCCATGTTTTTAAACCTCAAACCAGTGTTGAAGGAAGAGACTACCAAGATTGATTTAATACACCATATGCTAAAGATTACCCTGGAATATCTATTTGGTTCATGAATTAATCTGGCTTAGAACTTTCATTTCTAATGACATGTTTGAATGACATGTTAGTATGTGGCTTGTCTAGTAGAAACATTATGTCCTTTTCCCCTTGAGGACTTGTTTTCACAGTAATTTTATTATTAGAGTAGTCGCATAATGTTCACTTTATATTTTACAAGAATATTGAGCCTTGAAATAGTCGGGTGATGAACAAGCACAGAGCATAAGAGTAATATGAATTTTATCCAGCAATGTCAAGGCGTCTTAGTTACCAAGACCACCAACAGAGAACATTAAACTAGTTTGATTTAAATCTCCTCTATTTCCTGTGCACAATTAGGAAGCCCAACTTCCCCCTGAATTCCTAGGAATCCCTCTTGTTAAAAATTAGTGCATTGTAGTCTATATACTTGAGTTTTTATTTTGAAATGGTTGTAGTAGGAATGCTGGAAATGCTCCCTCTTTTTGTCATCTTTATGGATAAGCATATGGTATTGTTATGCTGTTTCTAATGGTTTCATAACATGAGGGTCACTCGGACACTGTTTAGAAAACCCTACTTTGAAAGCAGTCATCTCTCAAGCAAACACAGTGTGAATTGTGCTTCTTATTCCTTTGATGCCTTCATGATGTTCCCAGCCTTAGATAATGGGTGTGCGTTAAAGGGGCAACACATTTTCCAAATTCTGATTTGTAGTAGTTGATCCCAAGGCACCGCTCATCCCACTGTTTTGTTGAGGGTGTGTTCTAATGGGAATGAACATTTCCCCAAAGCTGAGACTGAGACAGAGGGTGGTCTAGCATGTAGCCCAAGATACAAAACCCTTCTTTCTGCTTCATCTTCTAGCCAGCAACACCACCTGTGTTCAAGCCATCTGAACAATACTTGGGTGGCAGGCAGTGTCGAAGCCTCCTACAAAAATTGCAGTTCCTCTTAATAACTGCTCATCTTCCATTCACATTTGTATGTTACAGCTCTACTTAGGGACTGATTATATTTCTCTTGGGCAAGATAAATTGATTAGAGCCAAAAGTAGAAATCAATAAAGTCTTTACCAAGCAAATGCATTGGTTTTCATCTTTATTTCTGTTACATGGACATTTTGATCATCTCTAATATGAATTGATAAAAATCTTGGGCCTCAGAGAGTAGTCAAGTCCTCTTACATTAAAGCTGAAAATGCGGGTTTGATGTATCTTGCTAAACATGGCCCACTTCTCAATGCAAAAAAAAAAAAATTCTGCCACTTGAGAATTAAAATATATTTACTTTCCAGTTATACCCTTTGTTATATCAGTCACACAAATAAAAAGAGAAATCTGTAAGAGAAAGACCCAAGTAGCTTAACATGTTCAGGGAATCTAGAAAATGTAGCTTCTCCAGTGTTTCCTGGACCAGAGCAAAAGGCATTCCAAGTGAAAGGGCAAACGGGCCCCAGTAAACTGCTTTGAAATTTAAGCCCTTGGGTTTGGCACTCCAGCTGTTGCAAGGTAAAATGGCTTCATGTTAAAAAATAGTCTGTTCTTATCAGTGATTTCCATGAGTAGCCTTTGTAGTTTTCTGAAATATTTTCATGACATGATGAGGTAAGCAGTTGATTCTATTTTTAATTCTATTTCCTGAGTCATAATATCTCCCTGCATAAAACAGGCACTGATAGAAAGTTTAGTTAGAAAGGCATAGTTCTAAAGAAATCAGAATGATCATAATATCTTGCCTCTTCTAACGTGTGATTTTTGGGGCATACATATTTAGTTTTTAAATGCTCCTAAAATATTTTTATTGGTGTTCAATACTTTGTTTAGTTTCATAAATATATGTATATTATTTATAATCTTCATTTTAAAGTTGTGTAAAGGAAGAATTAATCTTTTGAAAGCCACTACTGTAGCAGATATTATCTGTAATGAAGCAATATCTTGTTCTTTTTTGGCTTAGGTTCTTTGTTAGATAATGTGATTTTACCAATGTAGCTCCAAACTTTTTGTGAAAATCTGTATTCAAATGAAGCAAATATCACAAATTATTTTGGCTGGTAGATCTAATTTTTAGGTATATAATAATGATAAGAAATATTGCTCCTAGGAAAAAAAAAAAAGATAAGTACCCCCAAATACGATGGTAATGCATACTGAAAAAAGGTTAGTGTCACCTATATTTCCCATAATTATTATTTTCTGTTTATAATGGTTTTTAGGTTTGTTTATTCTTGTTGTTTGAGGCAGAGTTTTGCTCCTGTTGCCCAGGCTGGAGTGCAATGGCACGATCTCAATCTCCTGGGTTCAAGCGATTCTCCTGCCTTAGCCAGGCATAGTGGTGCATGCCTGCAATCCCTGTTTTTAGTTTTTAAAGGACTCCTTAATACAGAAATTCTTCTGGTTTTCACACTAGATATAATTTGTTGTATTTTATCTTATCTTAAATATGTTTAACACTATTGATATCTGAGTTGCTCTCACTGGTCCAATTGTATGATGTCAGACCCTCATTTCTAAGAACTTGCTTATACAATACCTATCATGAGTGCTGATGACTCATGTATTTTAATATCATAACTTTGTGATATGGAAAAGAAGTTTGTTTCATCACAAGGTAATTGTGTTCTTTTTATCATGTGCCAGTTTTCTTTCAGCATTTTAGCAATTAACAAATAAATATGGGTATGGATTTTGTAAACCAAATAAAGCATATATCAAAACATTATCGGGTGGGTGCTTTGGCTCACTCCTGTAATCCAGCACTTTGGGAGGCCAACGCGGGCGGATCACGAGGTCAGGAGTTCGAGACCAGCTTGACCAACATGGTGAAACCCTGTCTCTACTAAAAATACAGAAATTAGCCAGCGTGGTGGCATGCGCCTGTAATCGCAGCTACTCAGGAGGCTGAGGCAGGAGAATCGCTTGAACTCGGAAGGTGGAGGTTGCAGTGAGCCGAGATTGTGCCACTGCACTCCAGCCTGGGCAACAGAACAAGACTCCGTCTCAAAAAAAAAAATTATCTAACTGAGACAGCCAAAATATAAATATATGAAAATAACAAGCATAAATTAGCTATGCTAAGCAGAGGTCAGGAGAATTAAATTATGACCTGGAAAAGCCATAGAATTGGACCACTGAAGATCTGACCCCACTACTGCATTTTAAAAGTATGGAAGGTGATGACAACACATTTGAGAAGGCTCTCTTAGTTCAAGAATGGAGCTGGCAAGTCTTTTAAATTATGTACCTGTTTACTGAAATTTTGCTTGGATTCATTGGGTGATTTAAGCTTTTCTTTTCTTATTTCACAAAATAGTGAAAAAAACTTTCCTCCAGAACGTTAATAGGTTTTATTTAGATACTATGTCTATTTGCTAATGTTGAGGCTTTAATAAATACAACATACCCCAAGTTCTAGGCATTCTGTTAATACTGAAGACTTCACAGGAATCCTGATAATCCCATTTTATCACTTAGTTCTAAAGGCAAGATACCTTCAAACGATACATGTTAAAGAAAGCTGGCTTTGAATTATATACTGGAATATATGTCTTTTATTATTCACAATACTCTTTGTTCTTCTCTTCTGTAGATAAAAATACCAGTGTTTAAGGCAGTAGAGATAAGCTTCATGAATACGTAGACTTACTTTATCTCTGGAATTTGAGACCATATTGACTTTTAGTAGCATACCAGTTCACTTTTTTTAGTGTTTACACAGACTTTTAAATATGTGGAGAATATATGTTATTTAAAACATTAAACATATTTTCTCTCCTTGTTAGATCTGTTGTGGAAATTTTTGTTTGTTTGTTTGGTGTACTGTGGAACTATGAGACGAATACCCCGTTTTGCTATGTATCAAATTTCTATTTATTTGAAAACAGGTGGAAGTTATTTGTGAAGATAATTCCGTTTACTATAAAATAATATAAAGAAAAGCCAGACTCTGAGGACTCCAGAGACCTGAAAGTACTACATACTTGTCAGCAATGACCATCACATAGCTTGCTACATTCACCAGCTCATCAATAGCAAGGGGAAAGTCATAACAAGGAAACCACTTTATCTTTAAACCAAGGTGTCAGGTTTATATTTTATCTGTAAAAAAAGTAACATGAATATATTTGACATCTACCTCAGCAAACAAATTAATGCTAATTAAAGATTAATGTGTTGTAATTAGCATTAAAAATGCAATTAAATTGTGAGTAAATGGACCAGGAATAGAAAATTGTTAGACGTCTCACTGCCTGCTTTTCATATTCTGCCTTTTGTTTTTGCAGCAAATAGAGGAAGCGGGGCAGCCGGCAGCTCCCAGACTGGAGATGCTCTGGGGAAAGCACTTGCTTCGGTGAGGAAATATTGACTTTGGACTCCATATGTACCATTGTAAAGGGTGAACTTTAATCAGAAGTGGACATTTGGAATTTTAGAAAATGAATGGCAAATAGCTTTGATTTTTAGAAAATGCTAGCTTTCGTGCATAACAGTCACTGGAAAATTTGAGAAGGCTCTGAAGCTTCCAGTATCTAGATAGTCTCTTTCTCTCATCCTCGCAGTGGTACTAAGGCTGACTCAATTATGGATTTGGGAATATTCTCCTGGACTTTGGTTTATCGGTTTTTTATACTGATGTCATATTTTACTCTAACGTAGTAATGGTGCACATTGACCAACTAAGACTGTCTTAGCAAGGAATAGTTCTAAAACACTTTGAAAGAGGCATTTGAAAAAAAAAAAAAAAAAGACAATGACTGAAGTCCGTGAAGAATTGTCACATAATTGGCACCTGGGAGACTCAGATTCTCTGCTTTGCCCAGCTACTGCCAGAAAGCTAAAATTGAACATTTCTTGCATGTTCCCTGATGAGAAAATGGCATACCTTCATTGTCTCAGAGAGTATATCTGGTATTTTAGTCAAAAGCTAAACATGGTCATTTAGAAATGTAAGTGGAGGGCCGGGCGTGGTAGCTCACACCTGTAATCCCAGCACTTTGGGAGGCCAAGGTGGGAGGATCACTTGAGGTCAGGAGTTCAGGACTAGCCTGGCCAGCACGATGAAACCCCGTCACTACTAAAAACACAAAAATTAGCTGGGCATGGGTGTCACATGCCTGTAATCCCAGCTACTGTGGAGGCTGAGGCAGGAGAATTGCTTGAACCTGAGAGGTAGAGGTTGCAGTGAGCTGAGATCATGCCACTGCCCTCCAACCTGGGTGACAGAGCAAGACTCCATCTCATAAATAAATAAATGTAGGTGGAGATTTGTTTCTCTAAGATTTTGTCTCTTCAGTTGGCTTTTACCATTGGGAGCATTAAAAAAGTTCACACTATATTAGCATTGTGCCCTAAGTAAAAGTTTTTGTTTCATCTGGGCCTTCTGATGCTATGGAATCAAATGCCTAAATCTGGCAAACAAGTGGCAAAATATCTTAGGAATGATCCTCATTTTGTAAATGAGGAAAGGAAAGTTCAGAGTATCTGCCTGGCTTGCCCATAGCCACACAGCCAGTGGGAACGAAGAGCTGAATTGAAGTCTGCTGACCCCAGCCTGGCTCTTTTCCCACCAACCCATACCACATCAGTAATTCTTGTTTTGAAAAATTAAAATAATTGTTAAGTTCTTCATTTGACAATATTGGTAATGTAGTTGATTGTTACGTGTATTTTGTAACTGGTAAGTTTTAAATGAATTGCATTGACAACTTTGTAGTTTAGAAAAATGTGAATTATTTTAATGAATGAGGGTGTTTTTTTTTTTCTCCCTATGTTTTAAGATCTATTCTCCAGATCACACTAACAACAGCTTTTCATCAAACCCTTCAACTCCTGTTGGCTCTCCTCCGTCTCTCTCAGGTAGTGTATTTCAAATCCCATTTCATCATACAACAGTTTATAAGAATGATTCCCCCCTTATACTTCCTGATTTTGTAGGTAGAAACTCACTTCCCCGCAAATCCCAAAGCTTGACATTCCTATAACAGACAAATACAAAGGGTGGGAGAGACAAATTGCCAGATAACAGTTTCGTCGTTTACATCCAAACCTTTTCTTAAAAATTGGATTATCTTTTTAAAATATACAGACATATGGAAAATGTATTTCTTACACTTTTCTTAGCTCTGCAGAAGACACTCAACAGCAGAATAATGTATTCCAATAAAACGTCTCAGATGAAAAAAACTCAGTTAATATAGTCATGAATATGAATATAGACTATAGAGTCATCAAATATAGACTATTTAAATGGATCATTTCCTGCAGAAATTTTAGGCTTTCCAAATTCCCTCTTTAAAGTTCATGCCATTGGGATGTGTGGAGGAAACTATAATTTTGTAAATAAATTGTGAAGTAATTGTGTGGAGTAGAAGGGATGTTTGACTTCAAAGTATAACACATGCATATGACCTGTGGCTTCAGATTGAATAACTGTAATTTGTAGAATTATGTCAGTAAATGATTTCACTTATCAAGGTTCTGTGTAAGAGACTCATTGTCTTTCCAATATAAATGCTTCCAGAAAGCCTTCCCTGGTTCATGTCTCTGCTCTTTGGTAAGGGGACAGGTGGTTTATTAAAAAAACAAAACAAAACAACAACAACAACAAAATCTAAATCACATCTGTACCTGATGGAAACCTTAGCTTACTGTAATTTACAGTAGAGTCACTTGCCTATATATTTCCTGCATGCAGCTCTCATGGCCCAGTGTAAACTCGGCTCCTTGGTTGAGGACAGGAGGTTTCACATTGCCACAAAACTTTCAGAAATGATGGCCATGGCTTAGCTGGGATTTAATGTCAGCCTCTTCCAAGCCTCTGTGGTATGGGAAGATCACAGGATAGAGAGAGCAGTTGGATTCTGAAGTCTGTATGTCCAGAGAGACCACATTGAAACTGAGATGCAATTGAGGTGATTTTAAGAGGGTAATGAAACATTCCCCCAGGTGGAAATAGGAAGTAGAGTTCAGTATTGTTGTCCTCCTCGGGTTCTGTACCAGATTCTTACACTCTGAAAAATGATTTCAAGTGTCAGTATCCCCCTTTCGAGACAACAAGAAATAGAGAAATCTGAGCAGGTGGAACTCCAGTTTCCACATTTCAAACAAAGTAGCTTTCATTTTTTTCATTTTCTAATTTAGGAAAAGAAAATGTTCTGTGGTATCATAATGTTTGAGAACAACTAATGTAGTCTGATACCCTGATTTTACAGATGAGAATACTGAGTCCCAGAAAGGGAGTTGAGTTGTTGAGTTTATACCAGTAGTAATAGCAGAGCTTGGACAAAAATCTGGTGCTCACAGTTCTGCCATCCATTTCTAGATTAATGGTGGGAAAGAAAAATTGGGATGCACAGTCAGTCCAGAAAACATCACAAATTCCCTTGACCTGAGTAGCATGCTCTCAGTGAAAGGCACAGAAACAAGGCTAGAGATGCCACTTTTTGAGTCTTGGTAATGCATCATGGAAGACCACATGTTAGGAAGAAAGAACTTTTATGAAGATGCAAATATGGGGACAGATTGCTATTTTCACACCGACGGCTCTGTCCAAATTCTGTCAAGAAAAGTAATTGAACAAAATATTCTATTTTTATTTAGCATAAAAATATACATGCACACCCAGAAAAGACAGGAAGAGTGGATTTTAAAAGTGCTAACAGTGTCGGGGCATGAGATTTCAGTGAGATCATAGCTATTATTTTTTCCTTTTTTGAATTATGTATTTTCCAAGTTTTCTACAGTGAATGTGTATTATTTTAAATTTAAAGTGTTTTTTATTTTGTAGGTTAGACATGTAATATGTATTCTAACAGCAGTCTTTTTTTAGCCTTCAAGTTTAGTGAATCATAAAAAAAATTACTTTCTTCAGAAGAAACTTATAGTTGTTGCTGTATATTGACTTTAAATTTCCGGCTTAGTGGATCACTGATAACTAATCTTGTTCTCTTAAAAAGTTTTTCAAGATTTATCTTTTTCTAAAGATTGTTTTAAAAACAAGTAGCAAAGCTGTTTTCCATTGGTGCAAGAATTTTGGTTTAACATAAACTGGCCTTGCGTGAAGGTCTAACAAAATCCCATTTTTGTACCCTTACAAGTACCTTGACTCCATAGTGATAGTTTTTCTTCCACAGGAACCCTTCTAACCAAAATTCGGAATCAATTAAATATTCTCATTTAGGAGACAGTCAGCCTGGGGGAATTGTGAGTCTATGTAAAGTCTACATATTTTACATTTAAAATGTTTTTCTTATCCCAAAATTCTAATATGGGAAGTTTACATGCATTTACCTTATTGTTTAAATGAAAATCATCATTGCCGTCTCCAACAGGACTGTTTGAAATATTGGCAAGCATCTTTTTACATGTGTCTAGATCTGATTGAAATTCCCATTTTAATATCAGCAGGCACAGCTGTTTGGTCTAGAAATGGAGGACAGGCCTCATCGTCTCCTAATTATGAAGGACCCTTACACTCTTTGGTATGTCTCATTTGCCAATCTCTGTTCCACCCATTTCCAGGTCATGTTCTTTCTTGTTCAGTCTCCTTCACTCTCCAAGATTCTGATTTTCCCTGTTAGTAACTTTAAGTCAGTGTTAAGCGCACAAGTTTGCTGGAGCCAGAGTCATTAGGCTATGCTTGTTCCTATTTGGAAATGGGAACCCAAATACTACTGTAATGGAAGCCCCAGGGCTCTAAATATCTAAGTACCAGATAAAATCCTGGAAGGGCAATGGTCTCCTCCCCATCTCTAAGAAAGATCCCTGTCAATGATTAAATCACTTTCCTGCTATCAGAGTGCTGGAACTCCAGCTATGTCCTATACCTGGAACATTTGATTTCGTCTACCTCGGCTTTACTTTCCAGAATAACAAGTTTACAGGAGATTTCCTTCTCGTAGAAACCCACTGGTATCCTTCGTGGTAGAGAAATGCCTACTCTTCCAGGAGGGAATTGCTGAAAATTTCCATGGATGAAATTAATTATTATAAATACTCACATGATGATTCAGTGTCTGACACTTCAGTCTTTCTCTCCTCATGATGGTGGGGGCCAGAAATATGCATGAAACAACGCTGGTTGTGCAGCATTTAGGCGGTACATGAATCTAGTGGGAAGGAATAGCAGTGAGGGAGAGGAGCCTTTTAGTTCCTCGGGGTTGAGATTTTGTTTTCTCCCTCATATCCTGAGATGACACATGGAAGAAGACATAGATTTATCTGTCTGCCTTAGTGTTGTCTTATATACTTCCCTTTCAGCTTAATCTTAAGGAAAATCTGAAAAGCAAAGCAAAGGTGGATTTCCCTCCTTTGTTGTGTTCTTCCTTGCTATAGTGTATGAATCATTCAGCTATGCATTTTACCCAATAAAGGAAACCGGACAGTGAAACATATATGCACTACCCAGTCCAATTAGTCTGTGGACCACATCCAAATAATTAGTTGTTTTAGTGTTTTCCTTAATCAGTTATTCTCTGGGTCCTATTCATCAAAACCAGGCTTCATCCAACTATAGAACTGTAAAGATGAGGTGTATAGTTATGGACCACAGCTTCCATTCTGTTTGAATTCTGAACACTGAAGAAGAGATTCACAAGCAGAAACTGCTCTCTCTACCAGGAAGCTGTGAGCCAGAAACTGTGATAGACACATGTATGATTTCTTTTCCTGCATATATTTACACTCAGAAGTAAGTATGTATTATCATTCCCATATTTATAAATTAAAAAGCATACACTCTAAGAGGTTTAGTAACTTTTCCAAGGCCAAGTAAGTAGCAAAGCTAGCAGTCTAGGGAAGGTAGTTTAACCCCCAAACCCACCAAATCAAAATGTTCTGTACCATAGACTACTATATTAGACACACATTCTTCCTGTCAGTATAGAATAATTAGAAATGGTTTTTCTCATGCAGTAGAGCTGGTACACGTGTTTGCACAGCCCATTCAAATCAAAGTCGATTGTAGCATAATCTAGTACAAAGAGTCACTAGATTTAAAATAAAAAGACCTAGATTCAAACTCAGACTTTACCATTTCCTAGCAGTGTGACACTATGTAATTAATTCACTTCATGTCTTTGAGCCTCATTTTCATGTCTGTATGGAAGGGATCATAATGTCTTCCCTGCCTGCCCGTACACACGTGAAACAAGGATCAATGAGATGGCATATTTTAAATAGTGTACACTGGACAGTGGTATTTGATACCATTATTGATCACAGTTTTTAAAATGAATACATATTTTTAAAATGAATACACACTTTTTCTTCACTAAAAACTATAGGTATTGTCTAGTCATGAAAAACTAGTATCGTAATGGCAAGGATGAACAAAGGTTGGTTGGTTTTTAATGGTTTAAAGTCGTGAATTCTATACTGTGGTTGGGGCTTTGAACTCAGTTAGATGCCCCCAGTGAACAATTGATTCAAGTATTTGTGATTCTTCAGTCTTAAAATCTTATACTACTTTAGTTGACAGAATTTATATAATTTTTTTCTGTAACCATTTTGAGGCCCTTACACACATACCACCACACACCCACTGGTTTTGATGACAGACAGAAAGCCGGAAACAGCCTGTAAAAACTCAACGAGGAATTATCATCCATTTGCTTTTCCCTGTCTCTGATTTGATACTTAGCACTGTGTCTTATACCATAGGGAAGACCAAAGAAATATACCTTCAGGAAAATAATTTAATTAAGAAACTATAAATAGGTCGTCTTTCCAGTGCTAATTGTTTAAAACTCTTTAACTTAATACCTGCCAGAAAGTTCCTTAAATTCAGTGAACATTTTTCTCTTATAAATCTAAATTGTCTTTCAAAAGGCAGTACCGTATATAGCACATGTACGTTATAATGCCCTGGAATAATTATTGAATTTAGTTTGTTCATGAAAAAATAACTCTATAATTTTAACATTAACATGTTCTACCAGTTTTCTGGAAACAACACTATTTGTATTAACATTGTTTTAAGGAAAAACCCGCAGTGTGTTTTTTGCCAACTAAAGTTTTACTTATGTAATTTAGGCACCCCTTTTGAACTAAATCAAATTTTACATTATTTGTTGACCAACAGCAAAGCCGAATTGAAGATCGTTTAGAAAGACTGGATGATGCTATTCATGTTCTCCGGAACCATGCAGTGGGCCCATCCACAGCTATGCCTGGTGGTCATGGGGACATGCATGGAATCATTGGACCTTCTCATAATGGAGCCATGGGTGGTCTGGGCTCAGGGTATGGAACCGGCCTTCTTTCAGCCAACAGACATTCACTCATGGTAAGTGATGAAATTTATAGACTCTATAGTTATCATATAGAGTTAGAATGTCAGGTATCGATACTATTGTTGCTGTTCTTTTTAAAAAATCAGCTTTATTGAGATATAATTCACTTAACATACAATGAGTCCATTTCAGGTGTACATTTCAAGTGTTTTAGTGTATTCACAAGGTTGTGCAACCATCACCATAGTCTAGGTTTTGAATATTTTTGCCCCCTGCAAAAAGAAAAGAACCCCTGGTGCCCATTAAGCAGTCATTCCCCATCCCTCCACTTCCAGCCCTTGGCAACCACTCATCTACTTTGTCTATAGATTTACCTATTCTGGATATTTTGAATATATGGAGTCATACAACATGCAGTGGTCTTTTTTGACTTGGCTTCTTTTACTTAGTATGACTGTTGCAGTTTTTCCATAGTTTGCCACATATTAGAGCTTCATTCATTTTTATTGTCAAGTAGTATTTCACTGTATGGACATACCACATTACACATTTGGGTTGTTCCAATTCCTTGGCTATGATGAATAATGCTTCTGTAAATATTCATGTTTAAGTTTTTGTGCAGACACTTGTTTCCCTTTTAGAGTGAATTACTGGGTGATTGTTGGTGTTTGAAATTATTCATTTGGATGACCGTGGCCAAAATGTACAATTTGAGTTCATATTATAATATGACATTGCTAGTAATTCAAATATTAGTGTTTTTTTTTTTAATTAAAGAAGCCAAAATAGTATCTGTCAATTCTGAGTCTGGGAGATAGAAATATATGGTATATTTGTTTGTATAAATACATTGTGTGTGGCTGTGTAATTTAATAGAGTAGCTTTATCACTACCTATTTAGAATAAGTCTTTATTTGAATTATATTTAAGCAGATTTGTCCATATTACAATTGTGATTTTTTTTTCCTCATTACTTTTGAAAGGATTTTGGAGATAATTCTTTTTGGGGATGATTATGAAGATTCAGAGACTCTTCTTAATAGAATATTAAGTGATGACAATTAATAAGGTGACCAGAGTGGTGGAGAATGTAACTTGACCAGGGATTCTCTGTAGTTCTGCTCCTCACAAGCTCTACCTGGTCTCTAAGCACCTTAGTATCCTGTTTTGTCCGTTACAGGCTCGCTAAAAGTTGCTTCGATGAAGGTATATTTTCCATTATCACTGTAGCATTTCTCGTTTAAGCATGGTCCCAAAAGGAAATGCAAAATACATACAAATTATTATGAGGGTCTTTTTTTTTTTTTTTTTTAAGTTCTTACTCAGTAGTATTCTCCTGTCCATCTTTCAGTTTCTCTTAATAAAAGGCTAAGATTAAGAGTACCATTCTGAACAGTGTAGTACTGAAATCTGCAACCAATTTGAAACCAAAAATACTGGTTTATAAATAGAAGCAATGAACTCACATCTAAAATGTGGAAAGATATTTTTGAATGCCAAAGAGAAATCTTTGTTTCTTTTCCTTGACCTCTGCCCTAAAAATTCATCATTGAGTAAAAATTGTTTATATGTTCATGGCAGTTGCTTAGAGTTTACAGAAGAAAAGTCTAGATTTTAATTTAGCTTGGCCTCAGGTAATGTGTTAAATACACTTGGGATGCATATAATATGAGATTTTCATTTGTACAGCTTTTTTTTTTTAACTGCAATGTTTAAACAATACTGCTTTTAATTAAGAAATCTGGCTTTATTAAAAGCCAGATCTGTGACACATAACCATTTCTGTATATCTGCTCTCAATCAAGAGAAAAATAGTTTAATTTCTGTAGCTGTGTTCATTTTGCATATGTTAAACGGATGTAACATGCACCCAGGGCATTGCTTCAGAGACACAGTCTTTTCCATAAATATGTAAAGTTTTTCTTAAATACCAGATGTAGGTTAAGTGGTTCTTTTAAATATTAAACTATACATAAATGCTTTTTGGGACTATTTGACCTTTGAATTGCCTCCTTTTTGAGTCAGATTCAGAGGTGGGATGGGAGGAAAAGAATAGAATTATTTTTGGAGATAGGAAGTTGGACTGACCTCAGTAGAAGGGAAAGTGAGATGGTGGAATAGAACGGTAGAAAAAAGGAAATAATTAGCCAGTATTACATAGAAACCTCTTTAATTTGATCTTGACGTACACACACACACACACAAGCAATAAAGCCACCAGTTTTGCTGATAAGGAAGAGTTCCTGTTTTCTCCTCTGAAGACATTTAATATTCAATCAAGGACAGCCACAGAGCCAGCCAGATCATAGGGTAACTCCAAAGATATGGCATGTCATCATCCTGCTGCCCTTTGAACCAAATGGGGTTTTGCAGTCTCTGTCCTTTCTTCTTGAAAACCATTCAGTGTGTCCCCAGAATCTGAGCTCCTCAGCCTGAAACACTAATGTGTGTGAAAAGGATTGGTTTGGCCTATCTTTCCGGTGCAAACTGGTATGCATTTTAAAACAAAAACATAAGAACAAAGGAAATAGTTTTTGAATTTAATCAGTCTGAAGTTAGCCTTTGACCATTTGATACATTCCACAATAAAAAGGAAGTTTAAGGGGAAGGAAAAAAAAAACTCACCCCCTTACCCCCAACAACAACAAAATTCAAGGAGGATACTGGTAATGTTTTCCACATTTGAATTTTAATACATGAAACAGGCTATAAAACTTTGGCCAGCTGCAGTAAATAAAGTAGCCGTGGGAGGTATGCACCGGAAACTTCAGCAGAGAGCACTGGTGAGAGTCTCATTCCCAACTACACACCTTCGTTTGTTGTTCTGGGCAGAAGCGAGTTGCAGTAACTTGATATTCATCCCAGTCCCGGTTTTGTTTTGAGCACATCACCTTTCTAACACTCCTTAGTAATTCCTTCTGATTAAAGAATAGACAGCTTTGAAACCTCTGTACGCTTCTCGTTTCCTCTCTCCCCGCCTTCCAAAAATCAAAACAAAATGGCTTGATAACTTGGAAGGTGATATAAGCATTTCTTTCTGCAGCAGCTTGAAATCGTGGTGGGGAAGACTGTGGTTCTGCCTCGGCTGTTATGTTATCTCATTTAATTGCTAACATATTGTCCTTAGCTTTTGATTCATAAAATGTTTTCCTTGGAGTTCTGAAGTAGGTCTTCGGTGATTTACCAAGTATTAGTATAATGAAAGGGATTTTTTTTTCACAGCGGCATGACTCATAACACGAGAGTGAATGTTTGTATACTTGCAAGCTTTCTGGATAATATTATTGAGCTATGCTTCTTTCCTGCTCAAAAACCTTCGCTGCCTTTCCATTATCTACAAGATAAAGACCAATTCCTTAGCTCAGTGTTTGAAGCCCATTACCATTTACCGAAAGCCTTATGTTGAGCTCTTCCAATCTGCAACAAGTCTTCCAGCAAGACCAGACTGGGCATATTACCAGAATTCACCCCATATGTTCTCCTTCGGTACTTTTGTATCTCTCTGTCTTGTCCAGCCCTATCTGCTTATCTCTGTACACCTAATACCCACCCATTTTCAAAGCACTGACTCAAATCATTCTTCTTCCAGGAAGCCTTCCCTTGCTCCCCTACCCATGCTAGCCATTTTTTTCTCTATTCTTACAGCCCTATGAATCATACCATTTCTAGATATTTATCTTACCCAGCTCCGCATAGCTGTGCATCTTTTATAGATATGACTCTGCCTTACCAACTGTTGTAAATTCCTCGAGTCCCACATATTATATTTTGTCTCTCTCCCCCCGACCCCCGTAAATAGATCATCCGTAGAAACTGGAGAAAAGAAACTAGGAAACTAACATTTTCTGAGTGTGAGTTGGCAGCCCCTCTGCTAGGCGCTCTGCATGCATTGTCTTAGGCAGTCTTCGCAACAGCCCAGTCAGGGTGATAATAGTGGCCATTTCAGGTGTCGGTAAAGTGAGCCTTAGAAGTTTGAGCAGTTAGTCTCAAGTCATGCAGCTGGAGTTAAACTCAAGCACATCAACTCCAAATTCAATGCTCTTTTTTACTACTAAGCATACTCTCCAGAGATTATCTATAAGAACACCTTTTCAGAACTTATTTTAAATGCTAGGAGCTTGTGATTTTCAAACCTTGATAAGTGTTGGTTGGCAAAAGAAGTTTCCAGGTATTCCATGGCTGGGTTCCCAGAGCAGCTCTCTTCCCAAATGTATAGACAGAGAACTTTCCCTCCAATGTGGTGGCATGCTTGGATTAAAACTCACATTGTCTCTCCACTTATTCTTAAACCAACATGTTTGTGCTGAGTGCCTCAGAGGTGTGAACTCTCCCTACCAGGGTCCTTGAGGTAGCAAATTTTAAGTTATCAAATTATTTTTCTTATTATAACTACCCACTTTTCTTCCAAAATTAAAGCAGAAATCTCTGAATGTGGGAGAATAAGGAAATAGCCAGGTCTTCAATACCCTAGTTAGAAACTCTTACCAAGTATGATTCCCTCTCTGCCTCAGAGACCTCCATGATTAATCCTGATATTAAATGATTAGATTTCTTATAAATTATGGAAAGGGCAATTTTCCAGATATAATTCTCTCTGTTATTCATTCAGTATTCAGATCCACAGATGAGACCTGAAAAGAAGCCTTTCAAATGACCTAACTGCTTTTTTAACTGAATAAGAACAAAACCCACGTCAAATTTGTCTTTATGTGACTCTATGTGTTCCTGTTTATTTGTTGATAGAGTCAGCAATGATGGGATCATTGAGCTAAAAATCCCCTCTACTATTCATATATCGCATTAGTGTAGCTCTCAGGTCCTTTTTGTTTAAAGTCTGTTTATTCATTCCAATAACATTTATCCGTGGTTACCAAGTGTAGGCTGTGTGCTCTCAAGGAATTCACAGACTAGTAGGAAAAGATGTGTGTTTAAGCAGAGTGCTCCCTGCCAATCTGCTATGCCCTCTAAAAAAGCCCAGGGGCCCGACTCCTATCCAGTAGTGAAAGATGACATGGTTGTTTGGTAAAAGAGTGGTCATCTCCTATGAGAAACT